AACTGGTCCGGTAATAGATATGTATCATAAACGGTCCGGCGTAGTCTGTAGGACTACTCCTTCTAAAAAGTTTAAAAAATACACAAAAACTAAAAAATAACAAATTTTTATTTCATTATATATTATATTATGTATTATTGAACTAATCTAGACAAAAATGGATTCAATTAATATAAACTTTAAGAAAATATAGTACAAAATAAAATAACATACATATAAATTTGAAAAAAAAATCAATTAGGTTTTTACTAAGCTCTAAAAAGTAAAACCAAATTACCAACAGTCATTACAATATAGAAATAAGTTTTTAATACGATATATAAAAAAAATAAGTTATAAAACTGGAGTTAAAGAAAAAGTTTTTAGTTACAGCATGAGGCAAAGTTCATTGTTTTCCTAAACATGTTTTACAAAATGGATTCGTACATTCTAGGCATTAATAATAATTAACTAGGACATAACATTGTCTGTAACTAGGATAAGAACTCTAGGATAAGAATATCTGCGTGGGCGTGTTTTGGTTGTACAGGAATTGTAAGTATTATACCAATTATTGTAAATTGTATTTCTCGTGGAATATTTGACATTGTCAAACGCATTTGTCTGGCAGATTGTCATATTGTCACTGTCACAGTCCTCATCATATCACTTTAATAGAGTTTCTTCATAACTAGAGTCTCCTAAATGCACTCTTTTCGAAGGCCCGGCCATATTTTACAAAAGTTTGTCACACACAAAATCTTACACAAACAGTCCGGCGTCGTCTGAGAGACTACGGCTTAAGTAACTTCTGCCAGAACTTCTAAAAAACTAATCCAGTTTGGGCATAAATATGGCTATCAGTTGTTGATAGAGAGGGGGAGTATTAGCTGGAACGCCAAAACTGTAGGCGGTCCTAGTAACTAATAAGAATGAGTTAATTATTTGGCGTAATCTGTCAGACGACGCCGGACCAGTTAAGGGCTAACATTAACCGTTTTTGAGAAAAAAAATATTTAAAATTTTTGGACGAAAAAACTACCTGTCAAAAAATTTTGTATAGCCTAAAAGTCAAATTTACTTATTACCATGGCCACTGTGGCATAAAGAGAAGACATGTGGCTATCTATTTCAAAAATTAAATTGTTCAAATGTCATATAATAATGGCGGTAGCTGTCATGAAATTGAGCGATTAAAAAATTATCATAAATCATTTTTTTCAAATGAAAACCCACTTTTTTTATTTCACTAATGAAAAGGTTTTTCAATTCGTTACTTTTTAACTATACATGTTCCTGTACCTAAAATAAATCGTTTTTAAGATATTTAAGATTTAATTTGAAAACGTATATTTTTCTTGATTTTATCTAGCTTCCTTTGACATTAAGTGTCAACCGGTCAGACAATTTATTTCCATCTGTCAGAAAACAAATTATTTGAATTTCCTATATTATAAATGCTGCTTAAGAGTGTAAAAAGTGTATTTATAAAAATATGTCTCCTATTTTCGCTCTTTAGTGATACCTAAAGTTGATAATAATATTCCGTATGATCGAAAAAAAAACAGCGCAAAGTTGGCTCTGAAATGATGCTGCTTTTTGAACAAAGCGTCACAATATAATCTGGCCAGATCTATTTTTTTTACATCACTTCACGTTTAAAGTCAAAGGCTACTGGTTAAAATCAAGAAAAATATACGCATTAAAATTAAATCTTCAATAACTTAAAAACGATTTATTTTAGGTATAGGAACATGTATAGTCAAAAAGTAACGAATTGAAAAGCCTTTTCACTAATGAAATAAAGAAAAGCGTGTTTCCATTTGAAAAAATGCTTTATGACAATTTTTTAATCGCTCAATTCTATGACAGCTGCGGTCATTATCATATGACATTCGAACAATTTAATTTTTGAAATAGATAGCCACGTGTTTTCTCTCTATGGTACAGTGGCTGTGGTAATCACTCAATTTGACGTTTAGAGAATACACATATTTTTGACAGGCAATTTTTTTCGTTCAAAAATTTTAAATATTTGTTTTATCAAAAACGGTCAATGTTAGATATAGAGTGTTTAATATCAAAATGTATAAAATTTTACAGAGAATTTAAGTATGTAATAAAAAATGGGGGCACCCATTTAAAATACGAAAGTTGCTATCAACTTCCGGTATTTCCTGAAGTGCCGCCATATTGAAAATATTTTTAATCGATAGATCTCGTTGTGAAACAATGATATGCAAAAAATCTCCAATCTAGATATTGTAGTTCTCTAGAAACTTCTAATGCACGCTCAGTCGGGGACACCCTGTATATATCGAAAAATAGTTTATGAGGAATTATTTCAACATACCTAATATCACACAAAAACATTTTAACATTTGTTACTGTCATGGCAGATATCACTATCATAACTGCTTCATCGCGGTGAATTACAATAATCCTCTTTAAATGATAAAATATCGAAAAATGTCAACAAGAAAAGAGAGAAGCCAATGAAAAAAGTCAAAATAAAGTTCTTCCGAATTTGATTTTTACGTCTATATACCATTCTGCATAAATATATATAAGGATTTTCAGAAAATATAAATTTTTTGATTATTTTTTTATTTTTTTTGTCTGAAGGATATAAGACAATGAATCTAATAAAAAATAATTCCTAATGCAGCCATGTTATTTTATTGTCCTACAATAAATGTTAAAAAAATAAAAATGTTAATTTCCGTATTACTGACTTTGCAATAATTCTAAATACTTAAGTAAAAAAAAGACAATATATGTTGGTTTGAAGTATCTAACAAGTTTGGTATAGGCTTGGTGCATTCTCCGCCGGTGCTGCCACTATCGTAGAATATCGTAAACAACTGGTATATACAAATATACGGGTTTAAAAATAGCGAGTAATACAAAACATTTATTATATAATTATTCTAAAAGTATTAGGAAGTATAATTTGTGAAAATTCTAAAAATAAAAATAAAAAAGTAAATATTTTGATATCTTCAAAAGGTCTAACTTGTATTATAATTTATTATTCCAGCTAAAAAACTTTTTAGATGAGTTTAACTACGGTAGCGAGTATCGGTTTTGCTAGTGGGGTCATAATTGAGGCTATTTCGGCTCTAACGAAATTTTTTAAAGGTACATAATTATAATTTTTTGGAAGATGTTCATAAACATTTAATTACTAGTTGATTGAAAAAAGTATACCATTAATATTGCAAATTATATTTTACTAATTGAAGCCTGGCGCATCCGCCACGACACCAGGAAGAAAATATCTTAATTTTTTTTAATTAAGAAATGAAAAACAAAAAATCCGGCGACGACAGTTTCTAGTAAAGCCAATTAGCTATCTTTTAGTAAAAAAGCAACTTTCTAGAGCAAGTCGTTACTTCAGTAGAGACGACACAGATAAACATTAGCATTTATATATATGTAGATTCTCTCATAGTATATGCCTATTTAATTTTTTGATTTTGTTTCGTCGAACTCCTTGAATCCACTGTTGTTTTTCGTCAATTCGGTGTGAGAAACTGTAAAGCTAAAAAATGTTGTTTCGGGAGAGTTGAATATCTGGAAAAAGTTGAATTATGCGGTCGACATAAACGGAAATGCACAAAGCCTACTTTTTCCCTATTAAAGGAGGACTTTCTTAATTTGACAGTTCACGGGATATGTAAAATAATTTTTTATTTAGTAAAAACTCCATTGGTTGCGAACTTTTTTACCATACCCTGTAGTAGCCAAAAATGAAATACCTTGTTGAGTATAATTAATTTTCTAACAGGAAAAAAGGTTTTGATTAGATCTTTTGCTTGCAATAACTTTACTTTTGTAAATACCCCTCGGGCACGTCAAATAAGACAACTCTAAGAGAAAATAAGTGCCAAAGGGCTAGTAGACTAAATAGATTGTAGAGTCCAAAAAGATTTAGGGATTTTATTGAGTTAATATGAATTCGCACCTTTCTATTAGAGGCCTAAACGAATCTATAGAGAAAAAGTAACAGTTGTAAAAAGGAGGTAATAGACCAAAAAGAATATGCTGTGTTTTTGATTTAGATCAAAAAGATGTATTTATTATTGTAGCGATTACGTACGAATTGATTTTAGCGTATATTAATTACAGAGATAGTGAGAAATAAAATGAAAAAATTGCGTTAATAATATATATAAGGTAAATATAAAATCAAAATGGCACTAATTTTTCGCCGCAGTGCACACAGCTCCCCCCACACGGAACGTCCGAATGTACCGTCTCAATTTTTGTAACTGTGAATTTATATACGTTTTAAGCGCTAATCGGGAACTCGTAGTTCTGTACAGGGTGTCCCATTTTCATCCGTTTTACGCGGTTTATCCCTTATGAACGGATATAGATATTCCAAATAGTTTGACTTTTATAGATGCCATAATTACATAATATAGTACACATCATTCTTTGTGTAATCCCTTGTATCTCAGATATGCGTCACTAAAAATATCATAAGATCGAAAAAAACGAGTACTTTTACAAGTTTTTTGGTTGTTTAATATCCTTAGTTCTGTTAGCACAGTTAGCCTGGGTCAAGATGTCAAGAAAAAAAATATATTGAGTACTTTATTTTTTAAATGCCGATACCACTGGCTTCAAAAAAATATAAAAATTAAAATCGCCGACGTACAATTGGGGGCTCTACACAAATTAAAAAAAAAACTTTTTCAACCAAAGTAACAAGCGCGCAAAAAGTTTTGTTAATAATAAATAACGACCATCATCACCAAAAGGTATGCTTACTGTTGCCTCCTCCCTGTTTCTAAATCCAGGAGGTTGGGTCTCTGCACAAATTTAAATAGAAATAAACTTTAATCTAATGGAAAAGCAAAAATATATATTTTTTTCTAATATTTTAGTGATAAAATTTTACTTTATGATCATAAGTATTAGTAAACAATAAAACTACAAACTAACAATTAAGGAAGTACAATTAATAACTTTAATACACACTGAATTTAGTCTAAAAAGGAAGAAAACAATTAGGTACTAGCTATAAGTAAATAAATAAATTTTAAACATAGTTACTGTTGTAGGAAGCAACACCCTTAAGGAGATTTTTTTTGCCAATTTGCCTGCCTGGCCAGGTGGAAATACCATTTGTTTAAAAAGACGTGAACTTACTGATGATTTCCATTTAAAACTAGGCATAGATAGTGGAGGTGGATCTTTAAAAATTTGTCTGTCTTTATGTTGTTACGAAAATCCCGAAATAAAACAAGAAAAACATAAATGTACCGGAATAAACAAACTTATTATAATAGAATTGGCTCCCAAAATAATAGAAACCTACAAAAATAACAGAGCAATGTTTGAGATTTTGCAACTCTATACTATTTGTGGAGTCAGTTCTTACACATTTGCCGCAGATCTAAAGTTGATAATGATTATATTGGGCCTTCAATCTTCATCATCATGCCATCCATGTGTTTGGTGTGATGTTAACTCAAAAATTTACAGTCAAGGGGAGAACTACGATCCATAAAAGATATTTCCAAATGGAGTACATTATGGAACGAGGAGACAGGTGGAAATTTAAAAGAAAGAAAAAAGTACAGTAAGTGTACTGCTAAGTTTACTTTATTGACTTTTTTAATAGTTATTTTTTGCAAACTTTAATTAAAATTTTTAGAGAATTGCGTCAACATTCCTTTAATAACTGGTGATGACGATCTTCCAATTATCAACTATATTCCAACGCCGGAGTTACATTTTGTTGATGGGAGTTGTACAAAAAATATACGATTCTCTAAAAAAGGACTTTCCGGAAATTGCTGAAAGCTGGCTAAGAAGTTCTGGGATACAATTAGACCATTACAGCAGATTTAATGGAAATAATGCCAGAAACTTGCTAAAAAAAGTTGACGTCCTTAAAGCACTAGATCCTGGTACTTACTTTGTAACAAATCTTTATCTTATTATTGTTATTTGGACACTAAGCCCTTTGCTTATTTTTTTAGACAACAAATAAATAGAAGTATTTTGTGCCTTCAATGATGTGGTAGCCAGCTGTTTTGGAAAATATATTGATACCAATTATGATGCCTATATACTGAAATTTTCCCTGAATTTTTCGACAAAATAAGAGATACGAAAATCAGTTTTACTCCAAAAATTCTCGCTGTTGTTCACCATATAGTGGATTTTGTATTTCACAGAAAACATTGGGCTTTTACTCTGAGCAAGCCTCAGAGCAGGTGCATCATTCCTTTAAGTTTTGTTCTCAAAAAACTTTAATTCAAATCCGAGATCAAAAAAATCTCCTTAGGAGTGTTGCTTCCTACAACAGTAACCATGTTTAAAATTTATTTATTTGCTTATAGCTAGTACCTAATTGTTTTCTTCCTTTTTAGTCTAAATTCAGTGTGTGTTAAAGTTATTAATTGTACTTCCTTAATTGTTAGTTTGTAGTTTTACTTGTTTACTAATACTTATGGTCATAAAGTAAAATTTTATCACTAAAACATTAGAAAAATTTTTTTTTTGCTTTTCCATTAGATTAAAGTCTATTTTTATTTAAATTTGTGCAGAGACCACCTCCTGGATTTAGAAACAGGGAGGGGGGCAACAGTAAGTATACCTTTTGGTGATGATGGTCGTTGTTTATTATTAAAAAAAAATTTTGCGCGCTTTTTACTTTGGTTGAAAAAGTTTTTTTTTTAAATTTGTGTAGAGACCCCAATTGTACGTCGGCGATTTTAATTTTTATATTTTTTTGAAGCCAGTGGTATCGGCATTTAAAAAATAAAGTACTCAAAGTTTATATATTTTTTTTCTTGACATCGTGGTCCCAGGCTAACTGTGTTAGTGTTACTAATAATTTTATATTAAAACCAAGTATCGTTACTTTTAAACGTTTTTTAAAGTTTAATATACACTGTGTCAATTTTAAAACTTCCTACCCTTAATATCTTTTTTGCAGTTAAAAATATGAAAAATCGAAAATACATGTCAATTTTATTTGTAAGGGGGACTTTAATTGAATATTTTTAGCCTTTTCTTTCAACCCCCTAGGACTTACAATCTTAAATGGGAATGGGGGTCAAGTGGCACATCGTGTTAAAGGGCGTTTAATTCTCTTTTCAGTGGTATCCTACTTTGTTGCATTTTGTCCATAGGTTTCCGAGTAATCGCAAATTAACTAGGTAGATACTCGTAATTTTTTTAGATTACTTTTTGATGCGAATTTTTTGAGTTTACTTTGCCAATCCCGAAACAAAATTTCACACGTGCCACCCATGGCCGTAGCGAATTCCAGGGGAGGCAGGGGAGGACCATGTCTCCTCTGGAATTTGCCACTCATTCCAATTTGAGAAATTAAACGTTAATGTTTATGATGTTTTCTGTTTATTAGTATTTCGACCCCCCTTGAAAAATGTAATGGCTACTAATTTTCTAATCATTTGTATTACCAGGAGTCCCATTGCAATAATTTTTGTGTAAGCACTATAGCCTGAAAATCAAAATCTCAATGCAGGCATGTTTCTGCAACTTTGAAAGCGATTATTCGGAAATATCTGGTCAAAAAGCAATAAAGTAGGATACCACTGAAAAGAGAATTAAACGCCCTTTAAAACGATTGAAAGAAAAAGGCTAAAAATATTTATTTAAGGTGACCCGCTTACAAATAAAATTGACGTGTCTCCCCGATTTTTCATATTTTTAACTGCAACAAAGATTATAAGGGTGGGAAGTTTTAAAAAATTGCAAATTGTTGGTGGCAAGTTCATTTCGCTCTTAAAAATCAACCAAGGCATGTGTTGTCATGGGTCAATAAACAAGATGCTCAGGAGACATGGTTCTGATCGAAAAATAACGTTTTAGGAAAAGTTATACACGAAATTATTACACAAGGTGAAAACCAATCCTTTAATTAACCCTGTATAATCAGCCAAATACTAAAGTTTAAAAAAAATTGTGTTTATGAACTAAAGTTGATAGATTTATATATAGTTTGGTAAAAATCATGAAAATAGGGCTAAAAATAAGAAAATATAACTCTTTAAACTTGACGAAAAATATTTCCGTTGTTTTTTTTTGGAATCTTAGTGTATAATAAGCATATTATGGCATCTTCGGTTTCATCAAAAATTAATGAACCTGTAACTTTCTATCTCAACTCATAAGCAAGAAACCCCATGAAACACATCAAAATGGAATACCCTATTCGGCATTAAGAAAGTGTTCCTTTACACAATACGAGTTCCGGAATATACGAAAACTTAGCAATTACATTTATGCTGTTTTTTCACATCCATTGTTCCATGTGCACGCTTCCAGCTGCGCCGTTTCAAATTAATTTTGAATCATGTTTGATAAAAACTTTTTCAGTTTTAGGCAACTTCTAATAAACCTTTTAATAATTATTATAGGTTGCCTCTTTAAAATTTATTTTTAAAAAAGGATTGATCATTATTTAATGCAATTAGAACATTCATTTCGTAGGAAATATTTGTTTTAATACGTTTTTTTCCACTCACTAATAAAATCAATATTTTTTTGGTGATTGGTTATTTGAACAACAAATTGGTTTTCGTTAATTTTAACAATAGAGGAATATTATTTGTATACTTTTCGTTCATTGTCAAAATTCGATGTGAAAAACTACTCTTTTTGTGATGGAGAGTTTGTTATTTTTCAATATGTTGAGGAAAATAAGATCAAAAACGGGTCAAAAATCTTCTGAAACCATTTATAAACAATTTCAAATACTTCCATTCGAACATCGTAACGAAAAAGTTATATCAGTATTTTCAAAATATTTCATACAAATTGTATAGAAATGGAATCGGCTATGGTTTTTGACCTGTTTTAAAATTACTAAAAGTGCAGTTTAGTCACTGTACTGATGTTATGTTGTATATAGGAATAGTTGTTTATATAAGGTTATTATAAGAATATTAAAAAATATTAATAAATGTCTTTGTATAAAATATTTGGTTTTTCTTCAGCTCCATTATCATTTAGTCCGCCTTATACAGGGTCGTTCACCACATACGACACGGAATATTGTAGCTAAACGATTAGATTTTTATAAATTGTAAGTTTTGGGTTCCTTGAAGGACTGTTAAAGGTACAATTTAAAAATAATCTTACAAGATACACAGTGTCCCAAAAACAAGTAAAAAATATTATAGATGTATTTTTTTAAATGCAACACCCTGTATATTATTCTATTTTCAGATTCTACGGTTGAAATAAAGGTAAGTTTGATTAAGATTTATCACACTTAAACCGTACCGTTTTTGAAATATTTTCAATTATGTGAACTGCAGTAAAAATTTTAAAGCTTCATTTCTCCAAGGGTATCAAAGTTTTTAACACTAAATATTTACTGAAGTTTATTTATTGATCATATATTGTATTGCAATAATAACAATTATACTACGTTATACAGAGTGTCCAAAAATTTATATTAAATAATTACTAGTTTTAAACGGCAATAACTTGTTTAATTTAAATAGAACACCCTGTATATTTCACGTGAATCAGATGCACAATTTAATTGTCTATCAAATTGTATTATACCATTTCTTACCTATTTCTTCAAGTTTTCGTAGAAAATGCATTTTCTTATAATTTAGACCTCATTGACCTCATGAAATAGACGTTTTAGATTTTTTTAAAGCAACATACATATGTACAAAAAATGGTAAAATTAATAATATTGCAAGCCCATTTGTTTACAAAAAGAAAACTATTTAAATCTTTGTAAAAAAGTATACCAATTATTACTAATTATTAATATACCATCATTATTTCCGCCCAAAAATTAGTTAATTACATACTTAATTGTTTTAATTAATAAATTATTTTTAACAAATGTGGATTTGACTCAGAAATTAATATAATAATAAGTTACGAAAATGAACGTCTCTATTATCCTTCTATTATATAAGAATTTCTCAAAAAATTAAATAAAATGTATAAGGTGTTTATTTTTACCACACTGTCTAATACACATACAAAATTCAGTTTTTTTAGTACTTTGAGCAATTATTATTAATCAACGTAAACAGTCAATTAATGTAGTTTGAATTCTAGGATCATATTAATTGGTCCTCTTTAACAAAAAAATATTTAAACAGTTTTTTTTTTACCTTTTAATGAAATAAGCACTTGTGTCTAGCCCCAGCAGGCAACTATTAAGCCCGACCAATCACGTTAGAGTTTTTGACCAAACACAAATGAATTAACACCCTCCAAATAACCACGCTAACCAACCCGATTGATCAAGCTTAATAGTTGCCTGCTGGGGCTAGACACTTCTAAATAAGCGAACTATAAACTATATCGACAGATACTAATATTTACCTGGTACTCTTTAAAAGTTTGTTACATCTTTAAAAATAATTTAAAATATCAATATTCCATGGGTATAGTGATAAAAAATGAGGTCTAAATTATAAGAAAATGCATTTTCTACGAAAACTTGAAGAGATAGATAAAAAATGGTATAGTACAATTGATAGTAGACAATTAAATCGTGCATCTGATTCTCGTAAAATATTTACGAGATGTACAGAGTGTTCCATTTAAATTGAACAAGTTTTTGCTGTTTAAAGCTAGTAATTATTTAATATAATTTTTTACACACGCTATATAAGGTAGTATTTTGTTTATAATTGCAACACAATATCTGATCAATAATATTCTTCAGTAAATATTTAGTGTTAAAAACTTTGATGACCTTGGAGAAATGAAGCCTTAAAATTTTTACTGCAATTTCATAAAATTGAAAATATTTCAAAAACGATAAGGTTTAAGTGTGATAAACCTTAATCAAATTTACCTTTATTTCAACCGAAGAATCTAAAAATAGAATAATATATAGGGTATTCCATTTAAAAAAATAGAACTATAATATTTTTTACTTATTTGGGACACTCTGTATTTTGTAACAATATTTTTAAATTGTAGATCTAATAGTCCTTCAACAAATCCAAAACTTACAATTTGTAAAAATTTAATCGTTTAGCTACAATACTCCGTGTCGTATGTGGTGAACAACCCTGTATAAAATAAACAATGATAAAATTAATAAAAAAAAATGTAGTTCATAATTTTATTAATTTAAATAGATTTCTCAAATGAAAAACAGTAGATTACAGTTGAAAAACTCATTTAAGAGTGAAAATGATCAAGAGATCTAATGGCTGGTCCATACTTCATGGAAAAGCTGTTCATATTTCCACAACATGTCTTAATGATATTCTAGTATGTGCCTCTGTTTATATGAAACATAATGTTTTGCTTTAACACAGATTAACAAACATTTTTAAAATTAGAGAAGTATGGAGAGCAGGGTGCAACAAAATCAATATTTTAAAAAAACATTTTTTTTATTTTAATCAATTTTCTATTTAAAATAGTATCCTAAATGGCTAAATCTGCGTAACTCTGCCCGATATCGATAATATTAACATTTCTACGGTATGTGTCGTTCTTCCACATCGATCACCGATATATTTTATTCAATAAACTTTGCCGATGCCCCTATTCTCGCAAAAAAAAGCCCGCTTAGAGCAAAGGGATTTTTTTTGAAATACATAATAATGTCATAAGAATAAAATTAGTACCTACCATTTAATAAGTAGGTAGGTACTTATTGCAGAACAAAATGTCGCTAGAAATTTGGAATGAACTAGAAGATAAATTAGGGAAGGCAGAAGTTGGCTTGATCAACATTCATCTGTTTCAAAAATGGTATAAAA